CCGGCCCCCCCAGCAGGCCACTCTAAGCGCCGCGGTCCGTGGCCCACCGCGCACCCAGCAGGCCACCCTAAGCGCCGCGCCCTGGGCCCACACCGCCCTGCACTCCTGCCGCTCACAGCCGCTCCTGCATTCCAGCATCACCCACGTCCGTGCCTTCGCTGCCCCACTGAATCCCCACGCGGAGCTGGGCAGTGCAGGGAGCCAGGCTAGCCTATGGGAGCACCCAGATAATGCAGGTCGGGGGCGCCGGCGCCCCCCTTCCCCACCAGCATGGCTCGGTCGCCGCCCCTCGGGGATCTGCCCCCGGGCTACACACTCCCAGCTCTATCCGCAGCACCCCAGGTGAGTAAAGGGGAAACTGGGAGAAGGGAGAGTGAGAACAGTTCTGTCTCTGAGGCTTCTGCACATGGGATATCTTTAAGTGCCATGTGTCATTGGGTGCCTGTGAAGACAAGTGAGAGCTAGCACAGCCTTGCAGCCGAGTGTGTCTGTGTCTTCTGTCATCTGGCCAATAGGAATGAATGTGTCTGCGGGTTCACCTCTGTTCACCTGACAACAGGGGTGTGTGTGTGTGTGTGTGTGTGTGTGTGTGTGTGCACCCTACTGAAAGAAAATGAGGCGAGGGAACCAGCAGTTAGCAATGGCTATGTCGCTGGACTCCCACGTAGTCGACCACGGTTCATGCCCTGGACTCGGTGGCTTAAAACTCACGGGCGCATGTGTGTGCATTCCCAAGATCCCGAGAGGAGAATGGAGGAGAAGGGATTGCGGCGTGACCATCCCCCCTGGGGGATGATTTCTCGCTTTCTGTCTCTCTGTCTCTCTCTGTCTGTCTGGCGAGCGCACGCCCTATAGCAAAAACCTCTCCAAAAAAAAAAAAAATGAGGCGATGCCTTCCTCAGGCTATGTGTCAGGGAAGGGTGTGGAAGGGGGGGAGGTAAATCTTCCAAGTTCCCAGATGTGTCTGTGTAATTGCTCTCTGTCTTGCACCCAAAAATCAAAAAGCTAGGGCTTGGCAGAGGATGTGTGTGGGGAGACAATGAATGATTTCACGCATTGTTACTGGGCCCCCTGGCTGACTCTTCTTCCATTCCAGATCCTAGCCGGGACCTTGAAGGCTCCGCTCTGGCTCCGCGCTTACTTTCAGGGCCTGCTCTTCTCTCTGGGCTGTGGGATCCAGAGACACTGTGGCAAAGCACTCTTCCTGGGCCTGTTAGCCTTTGGGGCCTTGGCCCTGGGTCTCCGCGTGGCAGTTATTGAGACAGACCTGGAACAGCTCTGGGTAGAAGGTGAGTGGTGGATACTGGACATACCTGCTTAGGTGTGGTGAGCCCGACTCAAAAACGGGGTGAAAAGCTGGCCACTGAGCAGTAGTAGGCCTGGCCCTGGGTCTGGAGAGGCCAGAGCCTGTGAATCTGTGCATCTAGGAGGATCACTCCCTGCTGCAACCCACGTGGATCTTTGCAGATGGTGAAGTCCTGTGACTAGTACAGAGAATATGTATTTGTGATTATGGGTGTTTAGCATTTATCGCCGACTTCTATGTGTACTTTTGACAGTGCAGCAGGGTTTACAAAGAAAACTAAAACAAAGCGTTACTTTTCAGTAGCAAGAAAAGTGAAATAAGTGCTGAGATAGCTATACTATTAATATAATACAAAGCAGAATCTGATTGCTGTGTAAGAGAAGGCAGGGAGAGATCACCTCTGATCAGGAGACTGAGAAGACTTAGGACTGGGCAAATTGACTAAATCCTTGGGCAGGCCTTCTGCAACTATTGAGTGCAAAAGCAGCCCAGAATCCACACTGTGAGGCAACAGGGTCAGATGTGATTAAGTTCTCTTTTCCTAAGGGAATTGTTAGACAGAAATGATTTCTTATTAATAATTTCAGCATGATTCTCTTCTTTACTAAGGTCTGATTTCATATGGCAGCCCTGTGACAGTCTCTGCTCTGTTCTTCCCTGAGGAATTTGCATATGTGGGCTCCTCCAGATTTCCCCCAGCCCAGGCCCATACCCACAGTCAGGGCTCAGACTGGAGTCTCAACCCACGAGTTAGTTCAAATGCTGGCAAGTCCTAGAATCCAGAGCAGATGTTTCCCTGTGCCTGTCTGCCTTTGGGTTCTCGTACCCTATCCCCACCCTACCCTCAGCCTTCTGCAGACTCACACATGCACTCAAACCCTAGGCCAGCCCTGAGGTCCAGAGCACATGTTCCTCTGTGTGCCTGCCTGCCCCCAGCCCCAGGACACACACGTGCAAACATACACATACCCTCCCACCCACATCAGTGCTGCCTGGGTGGTCCCAAATGACTCTTAGACTTCCTGCCACTACAGAGGCAGTCTCCTCCCCTTCCTCTCCATTCCCCAAATCCTCCCCATCTAAACACTGCCTGAACCTCCTTTCCTTATCCTGTGCTAGAGCACAGGAAAGACTAGACCCACCAGTTTTTTGCTGTTGTGTGGGTGAGAGTGTTGTAAGAAGATTTTAATCCATCCCTACGCTTTCTCCCTTTACTTCAGAATAGCGTTCTAGTTCAATTACAGTTGCTTAGGAGGCTGGAAGCCTCTTGAGACCTGGATTCAATTTCCAGGCCAGCCCAAACACACTTGGTACAGTTGTGCATGCTTGTAATCCTAGCTAACTGGGAGGCTGGGGCAAGAGGATTGGAATACCAAGAGACCTTATTAAAAATACTATCTCTGGGGGTTGGCAAGTGGCATGGTGGTTAAAGGCACTAGACTCCCACATGACCGACCACTGCTCAAGTCTCGGACCTGGTGGCTTGCTTTCTCACTTCCTCTCTCTCTCTCTCTCTCTCTCTCTGTCTCTCTTTGATCAAACTGGAAAATAATAATGATAATAATAATAAATAAAGTTAAAATAATTCTTTTTAAAAAATGCTATCTTGGGACCAGCAGGTGGCGTGGCGGCTAAGGCACTGGACACTCCCACATGGCCAACCACGGTTCGAGTCCTGGACCTGGTGGCTTGCTTTCTCACTTTCTCTCTCTCTCTGTGTCTCTCTCTGGTCAAATGAAAATAAATGAATAAATAAATAAAGTAAATAATTATTTTTTAAAAAAGTGTTATCTCTGGGGGGAACCAGCAGTTAGCATAATGGCTATGTCGCTGGACTCCCACGTAGTCGACCGCGGTTCGCGTCCCGGACCCAGTGACTTAAAACTCACGCCGGGCACGTGTGCGTGCGTGCCCAAGATCCCGAGAGGAGAATGGAGGAGAAGGGATTGCGGCGTGACCGTCCCCTCTTTGGGGTGATTTCTCGCTTTCTGTCTCTCTGTCTCTGTCTGTCTGGCGAGCGCACGCGCCCTATAGCGAAAACCTCTCCAAAAAAAAAAAAGTATTATCTCTGGGGACCAGAAGATGACATAATGGTTACATCGCTAGACTCCCAGTGTAGTGGTTTGAGTCCTGGACCCAGTGACATAAAACTCATGCCAGGCACATGTACATGCATGCCCAAGATCCTGAGAGGAGAATGGAGGAGAAGGGATTGAGGTGTGTCCATCCTCCCTGTAGGGAGGTAACTTCTTGCTTTCTTTCTCTAGTGAGCACACATGCCCCATAGCAAAAATCTCTCTTAAAAAAAAAATACTTGCGAAGCTGGCAGGTTGTATGGTGGTTAGGGGCACTGGACTCCTATGTGGCCAACCACAGTTCAAGTCCCGGACCTGGCAGAACTTTCTCTCTTTCTGCCTCTCTGGTCAAATTAAAAAATAAGTAAATAAATAAAGTTAAATAAAATAATTATTTAAAAAAATAAAAATATCTCTGTCTCTCTTGTGCTCTCTCCTCATTCTTTCTTTCTTGTTTCTTTTTTTTCCTTTCAGTTTTGCTATAGGGTGTGTGTGCTCTCAGGAGAGAGACAGAGAGAGAGGAAAAGTGAGAAATCCCCCCCCAGGGAGATAGCCATTACCCAATCCCTTCTCCTCCATTCTCCCGTTGGGATTTTGGGAACACACACATGTGTACCTGGTATGATTTTTCAAGCCTCTGGGCCTGGGACTCAAATCACACAGTAAGCCATGTGAAATCCAACCTTAAACTCTTAATCAAGGCCATCTGCTGGCCCCTCTCTCTCTCTCAAAAAGGAAGAAAATTTTTAAATTTAAAGGAGAGAAAAAGAACATTGTTCTGTTCTGTACTGGTTAGGGATAAGGTAAAGCAATGATCTTGACCCGCTCTTTTCTCTAGATCTGAGCATTCTTCGCAATAAAGACTTCTCCTGCAATGCCCTACGCAGTGAGGAGCTGATCGCCAAGAACTAAAGGGTATTTGCTGTTCCTGTCCCATTTTGCTAATACAGAAAGCAGAAGACACAGGACATTGGCTCTCAGAGTTCTGGACCAGAGTTCAGGGTCCTCCCTGCTTTGCCCTGTTAGGACTGGAATTGTGACTTGTTTGCTTTTTGTTCAAGTAAAAGCTAAAGGGCTCGGGCTGGCAGGTGGCGTGGTGGTTAAGGTGCCGGATTCCCACATGGCCAACCACGGTTTGAGTCCTGAACCTGGTGACTTGTTTTCTCACTTTCCCCTCTCTCTCTGTTTCTCTGTGACCAAATTAAAAAATAATAATACATAAAATAAATAATTAAAAAAAAAAAAAAGGGACCAGCAGATAGTGTAATGGTTGTATCCCACATAGTTGACCAGGGTTTGAGTACCGGATCTGGCAGGCTTGTGTATATGCGTGCCCAAAATCCTAAGAGGACATGGAAGGAGAAGGGATTGTGGCATGGCCATCACCTCTGGAGGGTGATTTCTCACTTTCTGTCTCTCTGTCTCTCCAGTGAGTGCACACGCCCTACAGCAAAAATCTCTATTAAAAAAAAAAAGTTAAAGGGGGGCTGGCAGGTGGTATGATGGTTAAGGGTGCTGGACTTCCACATGGCCAACCATGGTTCGAGTCCACGACATGGCAGTTTCCTTTCTCACTTTCTCTCTCTCTTTCTATCTGCCCATCTCTGGTCAAATTAAAAATAAATACATGAATAAGTAAAGGTAAAGAAAATAATTCTTAAAAAAAAATATGTTAAAGGGGCTCACTGGGAGACTGTTTGTAAAATAAAAATCACAGCGTGCAGCCCAACTACTAATTACAGGAGTAGTGACTGAGACAGTTTGAAATTGGATCTGTCCCTAAAGATAAGAAACATAATTGGGGCTAGCAGGTGGCATGGTAGTTAAGGTGCTAGACTCTCACTTGGCCAACTATGGTTTGAGTACCTGATCTGGCAGGCTGCTTTCTCACTCTCTCTCTCTCTCTCTCTCTGGTCAAATTGAAGAAGAAGAAGACATAAAAGTAAATAAATAATTCTCTTTTTATGGTCAGCAGGTAGCATGGTGGTTAAGGGCACTGGACGCCCATATTGCCGACTGGGGTTCGAGTACCAGACCTGGCAGCTTGCTTTTTCACTTTTCCTCTCTCTCCCTCTCAAACTCTGTCCCTCTCTGGTCAAAATTAAAATAAATAAATAAATGTTTAAAAAATAATTCTCTTTTAAAAAAGAAAGAAAGAAAGAAACATACAACTCTTCTATTTTGGAAGCAGGGGATGGCCACGTATTGATGGATGGAACTGCCATCTCCATTCATCCCCAAGGCTAAAACCATATAGCCAGCCTCAGTTATTCTTCCTCACCTCATGGGTGACTAAACCAGTAAATTCTTTCTTTTTAATCTCTCTCATAACAGACCCATCCTTTCCACCTTTGTAGTCATTGCTCTTTTTTCTTTTCTTTTTTTTCTTAAAGAGAGATTTTTTTTTCCTGTAGGGCATAAGCACTCACTGGAGGGACAGAGAGAGACAGAGGGATAGAAAGCCAGAAATCACCCCCAGGGCAGGGGAGGATGGCCATACCACAATACCTTCTCCTTCATTCTCCTCTCAGGATCTTGGGCACACATGCACACATGTTTGGCATGATTTTTAAGCCGCTGGGACCGGGACTTGAACCCTGGTCAACTAAGCGGGAGTTCAGCGATGTAACCATTGCACCATCTGCTGGTCCTTGTAGTCACTGCTCTATTTAGGCCTTTTGCAGTCTGACAGAAGGCTCTTGATTGTAACGTTTAGGATGCTTTTAGCCACATGGAAGAGAGAAAAAGGGAAAAGAGGGAAGGAAGGAAAACTTTTATTGACTTATTGACCCCTGTAACAAAAACTCTGACAGAAGTTTCAGGATGGTTGAATTAGCAGCTTAGGGACTTTAACAAGGAGGACCTGGCTTCTTTCTTTCTCTTCTGTCATTGTCAGCATGTTGGGCTT